AGCGATTCTCCTGCCTCAGCGAACTCCTGACCTCAAATGATCTGCCCACCTCAGCCTCCCAAAATGCTGGCATTACAGATGTGAGCCACTGCACCCAGACTCTATTTTTAAAAATCCATTCTTTAAATGGGAAAACCGAGGCTTAGAGAATTTAAAGTGACTAAAAGGAAGTTCTGTATCTACTAAAAGGAGACTCCAGGATCCAATCGAAGGCAGCCAGATCTCCAAAGCATAAACTCTATTTCAAATTGTGGTTAAAATAAATAAATAAATAAATAAATAAATAAATAAATAAATAACATAAAATCTACCATCTTAGTCATTTTAAAGTGTTCTATGTGTAGTAGTGTTAACTATATGCACATTTGTTGTGCAAGAGATCTCTAGAACTTCTGCACCTTGTGAAACTTAACTTCTGTATTTATTAGACAATTCCCCTCTCTCTCCCTCCGCCCAGTTCCTGGCAACCATGATTCCACTTTGTAAGAGTGGCTACTCTAGATACTTCACAGAAGTGGACTCATAACAGTATTTATCTTTCTGTGACTAGCTTCTTTCACTTAGCATAAACATCCTCAAGGTTCAGTCCTGTTGCAGCATTTGACAGGATTACTCTCTTTTTTAAGGCTGAATAATATTTCATTATATATATATACCACATTTTCTTTATTCATTTATCTGCGGTTGATGGACATTTTAGGTTGCTTCTACCTCTTGGCTATTATGAAAAATGTTGCAATGAACATGGGTGTGCAAATATCTTTTTGAGATCCTGTTTTCAATTATTTTGGATATATACACAGGAGTGGGATGGTTAGTGGGATGGTAATTCTATTTTTAATTTTTTTTTTTTTTTAGACAGGAGTCTCACTGTATTGCCCAGGCTGGAGTGCAGTGGTGTGATCTTGGCTCACTGTAAACCCGCCTCCCGGGTTCAAGCAATTCTCCTGCCTTAGCCTCCTGAGGAGCTGGCATTACATGTGTGTGCCACCACACCTGGCTAATTTTTGTATTTTTAGTAGAGACGGGGTTTCACGATGTTGGCCAGGCTGGTCTTGAACTCTTGGCCTTAAGTGATCTGCCTGCCTCAGCTTCCCAAAGTGCTGGGATTCCAGGCATAAGCCACCACACCTGGCCCTATTTTTAATTTTTTGAGGAAGCTCCGCATTGTTTTCTTAGAGGCTGCAGCATTTTACATTCCCATCAACAGTGCAGAAAGATTCCAATTTCTCCACATCCTCACCAAGGCTTATTTTCTGTTTTTTTTGTTTGTTTGTTTGTTTTATTTTGTTGTTGTTGTTGTTGTTTTTGAGGCAGAGTCTCGTTCTGTTGCCCAGGCTGGAATGCAGTGGCACGATCTTGGCTCACTGCAAGCTCCACCTCCCGGGTTCACGCCATTCTCCTGCCTTAGCCTCCCGAGTAACTGGGACTACAGGTGCCCGCCACCACACCCAGGTAATTTTTCGTATTTTTAGTAGAGACAGGGTTTCACCATGATAGCCAGGATGGTCTCGATCTCCTGACCTTGTGATCCGCCCGTCTCGGCCTCCCAAAGTGCTGGGATTACAGGTGTGAGGCACTGCGCCCAGCCCCTCTGTTTTTCATTTTTTTAAAAGTAATGACTATCCTAACAGCTATGAGGTGATATTTCATGGTTTTGATGTGCATTTCCCTGATGACTAGTGATGTTGAGCATCTTTTCATGCTATTGGCCATTTGTTTATCTTCTTTAGAAAAATGTTTGTTCAAGTCCTTCGTCTATTTTTAAATTGTATTTTTGTTGCTGTTGAGATGTAGGAATTCTTCATATATGCTGGATATTAAGCCTGCTATGGTGTGAATGTTGATATTCCCCCAAAATTCATATTGAAGTCCTAACCCCCAAGGGGATGGTAGTAAGAGGTGGGGCCTTTGGGAGATGACTAGGTGATAAGGGCAGAACCCTCATGAGTAGAATTGGTACCCTTATAAAACAGGCCTCAGAGAGTTAGCTAGCTCCTTCCACCATGTGAGGACACAGCAAGAAGCTGCCATCTATGAGGGATAGGCCCTCACCAGACATCAAACTTGCTGGCGCCTTGATCTTGGACTTCCCAGCCTCCAGAACTGTAAGAAATAAATTTCTGTTGTTTATAAGTTACCCAGTCTAAGGCATTCTGTTATAGTACCCTGAACAGACTAAGGCAAATCCCTTATCAGACACATAGTTTGTAAATATATATACTTTTTCTTTCTTTCTTTCTTTTTTGTTTTGTTTGTTTGTTTTTGAGACAGAGTCTCACTCTATCACCCAGGCTCGATCTTGGCTCACTGCAACCTCTGCCTCCCAGGTTCAAGTAATTCTCCTGCCTCAGCCCCCCGAGTAGCTAGGATTACAGGCACGCACCACCATGGCTGGTTAGGTTTTGTATTTTTATAGAAATGGGGTTTCACTATGTTGACCAGGCTGGTCTTGAACTCCTGACCTCAGGATCCTCAGGTGATCCTCCCGCCTTGGCCTCCCAAAGTGCTGGGATTACAGGCATGAGTCACTGCACCTGGCCCCGGTTTGCAAATATTTCCTCCCATTGCCCAAGTTGTGTTTTCCCTCTGTTGGTTGTTGCCTTTACTGTGCAAAAGTTTTCAGTTTGACATGGTCCCATTTGCCTATTTTTGCTTCTGTTCACTGTGCTTTTGGTGTCATATGCCCAAGAAATTATGAAGTTGCAAAGCTTACTCTCTTAAAGGTGCTTTTCAAACCACGGGGTTGTAAACCTATGAAATCATGAATTAATCTGGTAGGTTGTAACTGATATTTTTGTTTGTTTGTTTTTGTTTTTGTTTTGTTTTGTTTTGTTGAGAAAGAGTCTCACTCTGTTGCCCAGGCTGGAGTGCAATGGCATGATCTTGGCTCACTGCAACCTCCGCCTCCCAGGTTCAAGTGATTCTTCCACCTCAGCCTCCCAAGTAGATGGGATTGTAGGCACTCGCCATCATGCCCAGCTAATTTTTGTATTTTTGTAGAGACAGGGTTTCACCATGTTGCCAAAGCTGGTCTTCAACACCTGACCTCAGGTGATCCACCCACCTCAGCCTCCTAAAGTGCTGAGATTACAGGAGTGAGTCACTGTGCCCAGCCTTAACTGGTACTTTTTCAAAGAATAGAACAGACAGAATAGCACGGGATATAAAATGTTAATTGAGATATCATATGTAGTATGCCTAAGCACTGTTTTAGAAACTTTTTTCCAGGTGTATGTGTGGGAGGTGGGGCAGGGTGATGAATTGTGAAATAAAGTGGATTTCTTACTGTGGGCTATGGCTAAAATTTTGAAAAACATTGCCCTACTCTTTACTGCACTTGGTCCAAATGAAGGCCCAACAATGCTGAAGATTTTCCAGTAATTACAGCAGAGTCAGCCCTTGGTGGGCTTCAGTGGGAGGAACACAAAGAGATCTGTGCTAGGGCACTTAGTACCATATTCATGTGGCAACTTCGTTTCTGCAAAAATAGAAAGTCAACTATCACCTTAAGTGAATATTTTTTATTTGATCTTTTTTTTTTTTTTTTTTTGAGATAGAGTCTCACTCTGTTGCCCGGGCTGGAGTGCAGTGGCATGATCTGGGCTCACTGCAACCTCCACCTCCCGGGCAAGCAATTCTCTTGTCTCAGCCTCCCAAGTAGCTGAAATGACAGGCATGCACCACCACACCTAGCTAATTTTTGTATTTTAGTAGAGATGGGGTTTCACCATGTTGGCCAAGCTGGTCTCAAACTCCTGACCTCCAGTGATCCACCTGCTTCGGCCTCCCAAAGTGCTGGGATAACAGGCATGAGCCACTGCGCCCAGCTTTTATTTGAATTTCATTGGTGCTATTTGTTTTGGTTTGGTTCTATGGTTGCCTAAGTGCTCTAAGTATAAATATTTTATATCTGGTTTTATGCTTGTATATATTCATAAAAATAATTTAAGTCTACCATGGGGGTCTGAGAGAGTTTTCTTTCCTTCAAAACAAGGTGTCTGTATATCAACAGAGTTTGAGAAATACTGTTAAGGCTGTGCTGAGTTCAAAGGTGTACTACCAAAACCTTATTTGGAGAGAGGGTCTTCACAGGTATGATTAGTCAAGTTAAGATGAGATCACACTGGATTAGGGTAGGCCCTAAATCCAATGACTGGTGTCCTTATAAGAAGGCCATGTAAAGATACACAGAGGAAGGCCAGGCGTGGTGGCTCACATCTGTAATCTCAACACTTTGGGAGGCTTGAGCTCATGAGTTCAAGACCAGCATGGGCAACATGGTGAAATCTTCTTGACAAAAAATACAAAAATTAGCCGGGCGTGGTGGTGTGTGCCTGTAGTCCCAGCTACTTGGGAGGCTGAGGTGGGAGGATGGCTTGAGCGTGGGAGGCAGAGGTTGCAGTGAGCAGAGATTACACCACTGCACTCCAGCCTGGGTAACAGAGCCAGACCTTGTCTCAAAAAAAAAAAAAAAGAAAAAAGAAAAGATACACAGAGAAGAAGCACAGAGAAGAAAGTCACGTGACACCAGAGGTAGAGATTGGAGTTATGCTGCCACAAACCAAGGACTGCCAAGCACTCAGCAGCCACCAGACAGAATCCAGCAAGAAGCAAGAAGCAAGGAAGGATCTTCCCCCTAGAGCCCTGAGATGGAGCATGGTCCTGCCAACACCTTGGTTTCAGACTTCCAGCCTCAAGAACTGTGAGAGAATAAACGGTGTTGCCTCCACCAAGTTGGAGGCAATTTGCCACAGCAGCTCTAGGAACCACTCCGGGGGATAACCTGCTTCCCAAGAGGGGACTCACAAAAGCACCTTCCTAAATGTCAGCCCTCCCAGCAGCTATGCCATTTCATAGTGTGGGCTTCTCAAGGGGAGACACCAAGGCCCAGGGAGGCTCAGTGGCCTGCTCAAAGGGTCACAGCAAGTTGGGGGTAGAAAAAGGACCAGTAAGCAAGACTCCCACCACTCCCTGCCAGAGCTCGGCTCACTACTTACCACAGTGCCAGCGAAAACGTTCACTGCAGAGGCAGACTTGGCCTCCTTTATGCTGAAGTTGGGTTTACTGGGCTCCAACTCGGAGCTGCTGAGACTGATATTCCTCAGGTCTGGTACAGAACTGGAGGGCCTCGCAGACGTCGGCTTGGGGGAAACAGGGCCGGCCTCCTTCATGGGGGCTTCCTCATTGAGGCTGCCGTCTGTTTCATTTTTCCTTTCATCTCTGACACTTGAGAGCAAGTCAGGTGCGTAGGACACTAATGTCAATGGCTGGATGTACTGGGGAGGAGGAAATCACAACACACAGCCCATGGGAACCTAGCTCTATCCACTTCCAGATTCACCTGCACCCAGGGGTAGGTGCAAAGGAGATGAGGAGGAAAGCAGTGGATAGCAAAATTTCTCTAACATGGGGCTCTCAACCTGGAATTCTGGGACCCTTACAGGATTCGTGGATAGCTTCACAGGGTCTGAGCCACTTGAAATTGCAGTTTAAAAACTGCATTTTGTACTTTCTGGCAAGAGATTCCATAGCTTTTATCAAATTCTTAAAGGGTCTGTGACCCTAACAAAGTTAAATAATATGAAACAAAAATCTCTACTCTAATCCAGGTGAGTCTTTGAGACAAAGGAGATGGATTGAAAACTCAGCTGACTTTTCCCACTGAGCCAGAAGAGAGTGCTAAGCAGAGAAGGCGAAGACAGACCACAGGCCAACTGGACAGCTGACCCACAGCCAGGACTGGTCCACGCTTTGCACAGAGGATAGACCCAGCCATGATCAGCATCCCATGTAATGTTCTGAGAGTCCTGCTCCCAGAAGCTCTTCCCAGTAGCCTGCTCTCTCCACTGTGCCCTGGCCTACTAGAGGGGAGCATTCCAACCCAAGCTGCAGTTGAGGACCAGGAGTATATGCACTCCTGAATCCCTGAATAACATTCCCTAAATAAGGTTCGTGCTCAGCCTCCCAGCATGGCCTGGCTGCTCTTACTCCTACTGGAGGAGGCAAGCAGGACAGACCGGTGAGAGTCCTCTGTTGCCTGGACGGAGGGATTCTCTAAAAGATGCCAGCTCCTGTGTGCCTTCAGGGCTCCCCGCACCACCCCGTCGTTGCCAAGCCCTCTGTGCGGCCCTTCAGTGTGTCTGGGCTCTGAGCAGTGGTCTCCTCAGCACCCCTCCATGGATCAGGCCCAGGTGGGGAAGGGTGCTGGCTACGTGTGTTCCCCATGATCCAGGTTTACCTGTTTGGAGGCTTGGGTGGCAGCCTTGTCTTTCTGCTGCTGTTTCTGTTGCCAGCCCCTCACGCCCTTCTTTCTCACTTGCTCGCCTGCCGATTCCCCCTGCATCTCTACCTTCTTCTTCATTTGGAAGGGCTTTTTCTCCCGTTTTAGTCTCAGCTCCTGGATCAGCTGCCTGCCCATGAAGAACAAGTGAGTGTCACAGGGGTTAGGGATGCGCTGTGCAGGCAAGCATTCTCCTTGAGGGATGGACATGACTGGGCGAAGAGGTAGCGAGTTCCACGTTCCCTCCTCCAACATATCCAGTCTGCACAAGTGATTGAAGGTTAAGGAGCAGGGTGTGGAGGAAAGTATCATTCTGCCAAGCATACTATCCCCCATGTGGGAACAGCATCCAAGGAGAGATACGCGGTAAGGGGGCTATTCCCTAGTCCACCACACCCCTATCTGTTCCCCACTTCCCAGCAGGCCAGTTCCCATCCATGGCAGGTGCCAGGAAGAGGGTCTGGGTAGGAGGCTAAAGCCAAAGGCTCTCATATTGGGCCATTTCATGTGCTGGGCCTCTGTAGCCAATGGATGCTGAGAGTGGACAAAAGGTGACATAATATAGCAGAAATAACTCAGTCTCATGAGTCAGGACACAGGGGAGTTCTGGTCCCTCTTCCGTCATCATCTTTATATGTGATCACTCCTCTGCTCTGCCCTCCCTTTCCATAAAATGAGCTGGTAGGAGAGGACTGCACTCAGTGGATGACTCCCTCCAGCTCCTGGAGTTTACGCCTATGTGAATCCATGAGGCAGCTTTGAAGGGATGGCTATCCTCGGGAGTCAGTTTCTAGAAAGAGTTACCTCTCTCCACTTCACACAGGGAATCTTCCAATTCCTTGTCCTTGTGAGACCAGGGCAGATGTTCATCTGGCAACTTTCTGTTTTTGCTTTTCGTTGAGACAAGGTCTGATTCTGACACCCAGGCTGGAGTGCAGGGGTGCAGTCACAACTCACTGCAGCCTCCACCCCTCTGCCCTGAGCTCAGGTGATTCTCCTACCTCAGCCTCCTGAGTAGCTGGGAGTATAGGCACAGGCAACCATGCCTGGCTAATTTTCCTTTTTGTTTTTTTGTAGAGATGGGGTTTCGCCATGTTGTCCAGGCTGGTCTTGAACTCCTGGGTTCATGCCATCCACCTGCTTTGGCCTCCTAAAGTGCTAGGACTACAGGCATGAGCCACGGTGCCTGGCTGCTCTGGCAACTTTCATGGTTGGGGACTCTCCCTGCCACTCCAGGCCAGTCAGCCAATAGATCACAAACAATCCCCAGAACCCCCCACCAACCTCATCCCAGATGCCTTCCTACCGGGCATACTCCTCCCGAGCCCTGGAAGCAACGGTATTTTGGAAGAGGGAGTTGTTGTCCTGGAAAAACTTCTCATACTTCTCCGAATTCAGACTGGGATAAATCAGTCGGAACCCTCCACAGTTTTCCTTCTCATATGTTTCAGTTTTCTTTAACTGCATGGCCTGGAAACCCTTGACTTCCTCAATCCTGTTGGGAAGCAGAACGTGGGGCTGCTGTCAAGTTTTCTTGGGACAAAGCCTGGAAGGGACATGTCCAAGCTGGAGGTCGTCTAGGGCCCGATGGAGGCCTTGCACATAATGGTGGTCAATCAGGGTTTGCTAAATAAATGCATAACTGTTTCCCTGAAAGGAGATTCTAGCCCTCCTGGGACAGCCAACGTCATATGCACTAAGAGCTGGTTAGCACAGTCTTTTTGACAACTCACCAAATTCTGTCCTGTTCCAAATAAAACCCATTTTCCACTCGGCTTAGTTCTGACTAGGCAGACTGTCACCACCTTCCCATTCACAGTCCTGATTATCCTTCTCTACAGAATAGCCGCTGTACTTTTACTGAATTTGAGGGCTTCCTGGATGACCTTGATGACCATTTATGAGCTGCAATGATCTCATTCTTCCTCACAGCTCCCTGGGGAAGTGGGGGTCAGGTAGGGAGAAATGATAAGCCCCCCTTTACAGCAGGGAAACCCAGAGCCACAGAAACATCCAAGGCCAAATAATGAGGAGACTGATTCAGAGAAGGCCCTTAGACCTCACAGCTGCTCCTCAACAGGACACTGCCTCTTTCTCGGGGAGTTTAGAGATGGCAGGACATGGCGAAAGGCATCCTGGAATCCCAGGCAGCAGACCCACTGGGCTCTGGGTCCAGAGCTGTCATTTACCAGCATGGTGACCTTGTACAAGTCAGTTCCCTTTCTGGAGTCTTGGTTTCCTTGGCTTCTAGAACAAGGCCACACGGCACTCCACCCTACCTAGCTGCCCACTCCTTACAGGGAAGACAGTGCAAGTGCCTGAGACACATGGTGCTTTCCAAACATAAATGCTATTTATGGCCTCAGTTCCAGAAACTCAACCCCAAAAGATTAGACTGGCTCTGCCCATGAGGAGTGCAGGGGGCTGTAGTGGGGTCTGAAAAGCAACAAAAAAGCCCTTGACTAGGCTCAGAGTCTCCTGACACTACAATCTCTCTACAGAATGGAAGCCCCAGTTACAAGGCAAGTGCTGCCCAGCAGGAAGCAGGGGATGTTAGCTCCTGGCAACATGGGAACGTGGAGAAGGACAGACACATCTTTCTTTATAGTAAAAATAAAGGAATGGTCTTATTTTTATACTGGTAATTCCTAAAGCTTCACATAATATTAATTAATTTCTTTTTTTTTTTTTTTTTTTTAATTCTTTTTTTTGAGACGGAGTCTTGCTCTGTCACCCAGGCTGGAGTGCAGTGGCCGGCTCTCGGCTCACAGCAAGCTCTGCCTCCCGGGTTCACGCCATTCTCCTGCCTTCGCCTCCCGAGTAGCTGGGACTACAGACGCTCGCCACCTCGCCCGGCTAGTTTTTTGTATTTTTTAGTAGAGACGGGGTTTCACCATGTTAGCCAGGATGGTCTCGATCTCCTGACCTTGTGATCCGCCCGTCTCGGCCTCCCAAAGTGCTGGGATTACAGGCTTGAGCCACCGCGCCCGGCCATATTAATTAATTTCTATCCATTATATATAGCTATATATCTGTAACTTAATCTCCTATTTCTAGGAACAAAGGAATATTCCAAGTAAAACTATTCAAACTGCTACATTCTGCCAATATAAACTCATTTTCCAAATGGGATTATCATTTGTTAAAATGACTCCCTCCAACTCCAGGCAAGATTATAATAGCCTTCGATATGTATTATAGTGCCAAGTGCTTTGCTAAGCCTTTTATATTCATTATCTCATTTCATTCACCCAACAACCTTATGTATCATAGCCCCATTTCATAGAAAGATCACTGAGGCTCAGAGAAGTGACAGAAAGGCCACATAACTAGTAGGCTGTCGAGTCATAATTTGGACCAAGACAGACTGTTATTTTATTTATTTATGTATTTATTTATTTGAGACGGAGTTTCGCTCTGTCGCCCAGGCTAGAGTGCAGTGGTGTGATCTCGGCTCACTGCAACCTCCGTCTCCCAGGTTCAAGCAATTCTTCTGCCTCAGCCTCCTGAGTAGCTGGGATTACAGGTGTGTGCCACCACACCCAGCTAATTTTTTTGTATTTTTAGTAGAGACAGAGTTTCACCAGGCCAGGCTAGTCTCAAACTCCTGACCTCAGGTCATCCTCCCGCCTCAGCCTCCTAAAGTGCTGGGATTACAGGCGTGAACCACTACACCCGGCCTGGGACAGACCATTCTTACTGGGAGCAGGGGAGTCAGAGAGAGAGAGCCCCCCAAGGCTGGGGAGTGCTACTGTACCTCATCTCCCGAGAACAACACTGCTGCAGGAACTGCCCCCGTAGTCTCTCCTCCTCCAAGACTTTCTTCTTGTCACAGCTTTCCAGGTTGATCAGGACTAAAGTGTCATACAGCAGACCATCTTTCACCTCTTTATCCAACCGAGAGTCAGTGGAGAAGCTTGGAGAGTGGTTGACCTGTGAGGGCAAGATGGGCAACCGGTGACAAAGCCATCCAGAGTGAAAGCAGAGAGTGAGGCCAAGATGCCACCTGCAGGGCGCTACCAAAGCCCACCTCAGGGCCTGACTACCAAGATGAGAAGAAGGGAGGGGAAAGCATCTGGACTGGAGCCGCGGTGAAAAAAGGAGGAAGCATAACTCCCTGTAGTTAAACCAGCTTTTATCTCAGGCCTTTCTTCTTTGGGAGCATCAGGGCTACCCTCTCTTTGGTGTGTGTGTTCCACTCCATCTGGGGTGCATGTGTTCCCTTATGTGCACTGGGCATCCAGAGAGCAGAATGGAAGGGGTACTGCCCAAAGGGACAGGCTCGGATACAGGAGGTAGAGAGGAGTGGCATTCAGGAGCCTGGCCAGGGTGGAGGGGAGACAGGTGGGAGGAGGGAAGGACTTATTCCTGCACACTGAAAAGTCTGTATTGTTTGGAGGCACCATGTGACATTTGCAGATTTCTAGAAGTTTCTGAAGGTCTTGCTCCTGGTGGCTCATTCTGCTCTTTGGGTAAGGGCTGCAAACAGGCACATCCCTCTTCCTCCCGCCATACCTGGAAACAAGGACTGGGAATGGAAGAAGGGCAAAGCTGCAGGAATCTGACCTGTAGTCTTGGGTTCTCCACCCCAAAGTCTGACCTGTGTCACTGAACCTGGCACTAGCACTCGTTGCTCCTCACGATGCTCCCTAAAGGGCCACGTGAGAGGGCTCCTGGGGACAATTCTTTCAGGAAGAGAGGTAGCTGCCAGGAAAGCTTCTCCTCCTCCTCTCACCACCCGTGGGTCTCGGGGAGGCAGGAAACTCACTACATGGCCCCCTACCCATTTCAGTGGCGGTAGGGCCCAGGACACTCTCTGCTGGTGTGTGTAAACTGAGTAGTCCAGGCCCCTAAGAGTGGGGCACAGTCCCTCCTGTCTGATACTGAACGTTGCCAACCCAGCTTTGACGAAGAACGCCCCTTTCTGGGAGACAACTCTGTTACAAAAGGTCGAGCTGTCTTTAGAATCACTCTGTGCCTGAGATCAGCACTTCCTTGTCTGAGAGGACCTCAAGAAGGCAAAGGAATTATCTAATTCCCAGCTGTCTACCCCCCTCTGGTGGCCACTTCTCAGCTAAGAGAGAAGCCCCAGGCAGCAGGCACCATGGGAGGAAGTGGCCTGGGAAGTTGAACAATTCAGGTAAGCTAGGAGGGCGGAATCCTTGAAGCGAGCTGGCCCCAATAACAAGAGTCCGTTTTCGCCCCTCGCCCAAACTTCCCTACCTCCAGCAGCCAGGGTTTGAGTCTGCGGTCCAACAAAATGTCGAAGCCCAGGACCTCAAAGCAGGCGCTGCTGAGTGTGTGGCTGGGGAAGCAGGTGTGGTAGTTATGCCTGACGATGGGGTGCGCCGAGATGAGGGTCTTGATGATGACGTCCTCAATATCCCTCCATATCTGCTCCACATTGTAGCTGTGGTCTTCCATGTATGCATTGAAGGTGGAGAGCTTCCTGGAAGGGAACCACAGGCCAGGAGGCAGTGTAGCTGACCTCTGGTCACCCGAGGCCATGGCATGCTGGAAACCAGAAACTCCTGGTGGAGACAAGGCTCCAGAGCCAGCAGGGACGAACACCCAGGAGCCAGGGTGACACCTGGGCTGTGTCAGAGCCAGAGGAGGTCCCAGGAATCCCAGGACTACCCCCTCCAAGTCTCCAGAGCCCTGGGGTGGGTGCGGATGCAGTCACATAAGACATGGTCGGGACACTCTCACTGTGACCCACAAAACATCTATCCGCAGGGGAAGGGATGAGTCAAGAAAACCCCCCGACACCATGGTTTTACTTTGGCAGCAATGATTCCTCAGCCTCTGGGGTTTATTAGAAGCATGTGGGGAGCCTTTTAAGAACGCTGATGCCTGGGTCCCACCTCAGCCATCTGAGGGGATTCTGGGGATATTAATGACACAGAAGTCTTGTTTTAGGGCTACCCACAAGGAAAAGGCACCCCAGGGCATGTCCACAGATAAGGTTACCAACTGTGCCAGGCAAACTGGACTGTCCCCGTTTTAGAACTGCAAGTCCTGAATTCCAGGAAACCCCTCAGTCATGGGCAAACAGAGACAGCTGGGGGTCGCCTGATCACAGAGAAACTCAGAGATGTCTACCTCATGTGGAACAGTTCATGAAGAAATACCTGAGTGGGTGCTCAGCCAGCTCTGAGCTGGGCATTACCGAGAGAGGACGGATCTCACAAATCCAAGAGGCAGTGGTGGGGACAGACATTTGCCCCCTCACATGCACATACATGTGCACAGAGAGCCAAAGTGGAAGTGGCAATGTGGAAGGAGGAGGTGCAGGGGAGTGAACAGCAGAAATAATGAAAAAGACAAGAGACACGGCTCATCCAGGCAGTTTCAAAAGCTCACTAGACCCCAGCCCAAGGGGTCGAGGAGGAGGAAGCAGGGTCGGCCAGACAATGTGCATTTGATAAGGGCCTTTGGTGCATGCAAAGCCTCATGCAAGGAGGGGACACTAGAAACTGTCACCTCTGTCATGGGAAGCCTCAGGACCATTCAGGGAGTCAACACACATGTGAAACAACCAAGGATGCATTTATATAAAGACAGATAAGCCAAGGCTACTCAATATAGAGGCCACCTCCTCCACCTGCCGTTGTCAGAAAACAGTGTTGCACATAAATGGATTTTCCAGATTGCTTTAAGCCAATTTTTTTCAAGTGGAAAAAATGTATTTAATTTGCCTAATTGGGAAATAAATTTTCCTGAAATAGATTATATAATTCCCTGACAACATATAACATAATCTTTTCTTGATGACTCAGGACTCATCACAATGAATATACTTTATTGTATAATTTCATAATGCCCAGTGGTGAGTCAATTCCATTTAATACCAGCCATGTGCTGAGCACACTGAAAGATGAAGATGGCTTGGTGTCTGCCAGAGAATCCTGCCAGGTTTTCAGGTTTCCTGTCTTCTCCTTCACTGTGACCGCAGCACTACTCCTGAGTTTGTGCCCCAGTGGGGTATTGACAGGGATGGCAGTTGACCTCAACTGCCAACTTTGGGACAGATGAGACAGTCAGTATGAGAAGCAGATTGTCTCAAAAGATGGAGAGGAGGAAGAGGAAAGGAGAAGCAAAACGGGAGGGAAAGGAGGAGATAAGAACTCTGCCCAGCACTATGGGAAGAACCCCAAAGGCCAGGGCACCATTGTAACCCTCAAGGAGCAAAGTACAACTAGGGACAAAAGACAAATGTGCCCTGGGTAAAGAACAGCTATGGGCAATGGCTGATATTGGCCGTGAGGGTTGTAAAAATACAAAAAAAAAAAAAAAAAAATTAGACAGGCATGGTGGCAGGAGCCTGTAATCCCAGCTACTCGGGAGGCTGAGGTAAGAGAATCGCTTGAATCTAGGAGTCAAAGGTTGCAGTGAGCCGGGATCGCACCATTGCACTCCAGTCTGGGTGACAAGAGCAAGACTCCATCTCAAGAAAAAAAAAAAAAAAAAAAGACAGTGCCCTGCTCATGGAGTGGATGGCACGGGCAGCATGGCTTAGTGGGTAAGGGCACCAACTCGGGGGTTAGACAGCCCTGGTTTCAATCCCAGCTTCCTAGCTGTGCCACCCAGTGTAAGTTACTTAACTTTTTCACACCTCAGTTTCCTAATATGCAGAATAGGGATGATAATAATGCCGACTTCATAGTGTTGTTTTGAGGAGGATTAAGTGGTTTCAAGTATGTAAATTATCACTAGGAAAAGAAATGTCCAAGCTCTCCAGCCCTGGAGATGAGAAGGTAGAGATGAGGAAGTTGGGCAGGGAGACCAATTTGGAGTGTTGGGGTGGAGGCAAGGAGAGAGAACACACCCACACTGGGAAATGCTGTGTTGAAGACGTCCAGGTGGAAATGAGGAGAGATGGACCTGGAGCCCAAGGGAGACAGGCTGAGCCCAGCAAGGGCAGGCGGAGGCCACGGGGGCAGGCGGCTGCTCCAGGAGACAGTGGATGGAGAAGCACCGTGGGGTGAGAGGGAGATGAACAGAGGAAGAGGAAGAAGGAAATGGAAGAGGCAGAACAACACTTGAAGCCTTTGCAACCTCACCTTAGTTCTGCTACCCTAAGACACTCCTCCATCACAGCCGAGGGTCCAGAGCCTGCTGTTGGGGTGCCAGTTCTCATTGGAGGAGGGAAATGAGAACCTTTCCATTCTGTGCCCTTAGGCTAATGAAAAATGACAGTAACCACGCACACTGTCTATGTTGCCATCACAAGTCATTTGAACCTCACAGAGACCCTGTGAGGTGTCAGGGCATGGCAGGGAGACTCATCACATTCATCCTCCAGACCAAGAAGTGCAGGCTCAGAGAGATGAAGTAACTTGTCCAAGCTTAGTTGGCAAGTGTCAGAGCCAGGACTACAAGCTAGACCTCCCAGAGTGCCGACGCTCAGAACGCAGCAATGCAAGAGGCCCAGCTGGTGCCCATAGCCCAGGTGGGGAGGAGAGGAGGAAGTGGCAGAGCTTCAGGCAGCACAGGTGGCTGACATCTTCCGGAAAAGGGGGAGACTGCCTCCCACCAGTCTTCCACATCCCCTTTAAGCAGCCTTAACTTAGTGATTTTCGGTGTGCTTTTTGGAATGCTGCCACTGGGGGGGTCATGAAATGTCACATGCCTCTCTGATGGTCTGAAGTCAAACTGATAGCCTGTTCAGTGGTCCTTTGAAGCTTGGTGCGTTAGAAAAGAGAATGAGCTCTGGGGTCTAACAGACCTCGCTTCTCCACCCAGTCTAGCAGTCACAGCTGTGGGACCTGGGGTAACTCACGCAACCTCTGAGACTCAGTTTCCTCATCTGTAAGATGGAGATGGCACCTAACTCACAGTTCCCCACCTACAGAGAGCAGATAGCAATGCCTTTGCCATAGTGTTGCTGTGAAAAATTCAAAAACAGGCCAGGCATGGTGGCTCACGCCTGTAATCCCAGCACTTTGGGAGGCCGAGGCAGGCGGATCACGAGGTCAAGAGCTCAAGACAATCCTGGCCAACATGTTGAAACCCCATCTCTACTAAAAATACAAAACTTAGCTGGGTGTGGTGGCACATGCCTATAGTCTCAGCTACTTGGGAGGCTGAGGCAGGAGAATCGTTTGAACCCGGGAGGTGGAGGTTGCAGTGAGCCAAGATCACGCCACTGCATTCCAGCCTGGGTGACAGACCGAGACTCCGTCTAAAAAAAAAGAAAAGAAAAATTCAGCAATAAAAAATGCACAGAAAGCACCAAACACAGACCCCAACACACATGAAGCCTCAGAAATACTTGCTCTTTTTCCCTTTCCCCCTTCACCTGGTCAAGTTCACATTCTTCAGTCTCCCATTTTCTTAAAACTCAAATGAGACCTGATTAGACAATAACAGGAATGGAAAAGCCTGTCATGAAGATACTGTCGTGAACCGCTCTCAATTTCCCCCCTTCTGAGGAATCTTCAAGCCAGCTAGCCACATATCAGGGTACTGTGACACATCATTTGGGAATCTCTAATGGAGCAACACCCAGGGGAACACGGGCCTGCTTGGCAAGTCCTTCTCACGTGGCAGATCAGTAAATATCTTTTGCTTTGGAAATATCAGAAGGGCCAACTGTAATAAGGGTATGTTTTGGTGTGTGTATATATTCTGCTGGGGAAACAGCTCATGTTTATCTCTCCTCCTCCCAGCCTCCCAGGGTTTATGATGGGGCCTTCTTTTAATGATTAACAGCCAAGAGGGCAGAGACGAAGGAATTTGTTCTGGGTTGCGAAGCAAAGAAGTACTTTCTCAGACCATGTGACCCAAGATGGAAACACTGATGGGGACTGACAGGGTTTGGGTAGAATCCCAGAAAGCAGTTCTGAGGTTGGTAGGGAAAGGAAAGAAAAATGAAGCCTCTTCCTTACCTCTTACTGCCAGAGTGAGCGTCTCGACTGAAATTTGAACTGTGCTTATTAATGGAATAATTAGTCAGGTGCATGCAGATATCATCCTGGGGAAAGAGACACACATCTGTGGGGTCAGCTCGGAAGGGCAGGCCCCCTGCTTCCTCTCTGTGCCCTCCCATGGCCCCTGGAGCTTGAAGGGATGGAAAGAAAAGGAAGTTTTAGGGCTTATTTAGTGTGGCAAAATAGAGGAAGTAAGAAGGGGTGTCCTGCAGCCTCAAGCCTAAGAAACTCCAATTCTGCTGGGCGCAGTGGCTCATGCTTGTAATCCCAGCACTTTGGGAGACTGAGGTGGGCAGATCACAAGGTCAGGAGTTCAAGACCAGCCTGATTAACACGGTGAAACCCCATCTCTACTAAAAATGCAATAATTAGCCGGGCCTGGTGGTGCGCACCTGTAATCCCAGCTACTCAGGAGGCCGAGGCAGGAGAATGACATGAACCCAGGAGGCAGAGCTTTCAGTGAGCCGAGATTGCACCACTGCACTCTAGCCTAGGCGACAGAATGAAACTCCATCTCAAAAAAAAAAAAAAAACTCCAATTCTTTACAAGATTGGGTTGTGCCCAGCCTGAGAAAAACTTCAGGAGTCCTGGGGGTCCAGGAAAGGCGGGGATGGCAGGGCTGCTCACCCATGGCCTTTTCTCCTTGAGTACCCCTGAACTGTGGTTCTGGCTTTGGAGTCAGGCAGACCTGGCCACAAGCCCCAGACTCACCTCTTCCTACCTATGTGACCTTGGACAAGTCCCTTATGCTCTGGGTTTTAATCTCGTCATTCGTAAAATGGGGATAATCATCCCTCTCTCTGAGGGTTCCTGGGAGGGCTAAATGAAACCCGGCACATAGCAAGCGCTCAACAAATGACCCTCACAATGTCTTGAGAACGTGGATTTAACTAGGATTTTTTTTTTAAATCATGCTATGGGGATAGGGTGAGGTAGTGTGTCCCCTTAGCTCACCAGGTTGTCTGTGCAAGGGCGGGAGTAAGAGGTCGTTGCAAAGCGGGCCAGTCCTTCATTGTACACAAAAATCCTGAGGGGGTCACAGGATGTCACCAGTACATAAATGCGTAGGTCAAACTTAAACCCATCAATGATAAAGGGCTGGAAGGAGAGAACAGAAGTCAGACATGCATTAGGGGAGAAATTTACACTTGAAAATCACTAGCTCCTGCCTTGTTTCCATGGAGTTGGCTCCAACATTGCCTAGTGTTGTGGAGGGAAGGCTTGTCCAGGGCCAGAGAGAAGAACAAGGAGACTTGGGCTCTGGGTCCCAACATGTGACCCTGTGGAGGTCACTAAACCACACTGTGCCTTGGTTTCCTGATCTGTCAAGTGACACAAGTAACCACCTCTAAGAGGTATCTTGGCAATTAAACAGAGAAACATTAAACAGTCCTCTGAGGCCGGGCTATAATCCTAGCACTTTGGGAGGCTGAGGCAGATGGATCATCTGAGGTCAGAAGTTCGAGACCAGCCTGGCCAACATGGTGAAACCCCGTCTCTACTAAAAATACAAAAATTCACCAGGCGTGTTGGTGGGCACCTATAATCCCAGCTACTCAGGAGGCTGAGGCAGGAGAATCGCTTGAACCCCAGGGGTCAGAGATTGCAGCGAACCAAGATCACGCCACTTCACTCCAGCCTGGGCGAAAGAGCAAAACTCCATCTCAAAAAAAAAAAAAAAAAAAAAGTCCTCTGATGGGCCAGGTGCAGTGGTTTATGTCTATAATCCCAACACTTTGGGAGGCCGAGGAGGGAGGATTGCTTGAGCTCAGGAGTTCAAGAACAGGCTGGGCAACAAAGTGAGACCTTGTCTCTACTAAAATTCAAAAAAAATTAGCCAAGTGTGGTGGTGCAAGCCTGTAGTCTTAGCTACTCAGAAGGCTGAGGTGGAAGGATTGCTCCAGCCTAGGAGGTCGAGGCTGCAGTGAGCCCTGATCACACCACGGCACTCTAGCCTGGGTGACAGAGTGAGACCCTGTCTCTAAATAAATAAATAAATAAATAAATAAAAATTCTTTGATAAGCCAGGCACAGTGCCTCACACTGGGAATCCCAGCACTTTGTGAGGCTGAGGCAGGAGGATCTGTTGAGCCTAGGAGTTTAAGACCAGCCTCAGCAACATAGAGACCCTATCTCTACAAATAATTTTTTTTTTAATAAAAAATTAGTCTGGGCACCTGTAATCCCAGCACTTTGGGAGGCCAAGTCAGGCAGATCACTTGAGGTCAGGAGTTTGAGACCAGCTTGGTCAACATGGTGAAACCCCCTCTCAACTAAAAATACAAAAATTAGTTGGCTGTGCTGGTGGGTGCCAGCTACTTGGGAGGCTAAGGCAGGAGAATCACTTGAACCTGAGAGGCAGAGATTGCAACGAGCCGAGACTGCACCACTACACTCCAGCCTAGCAGTGGAGTAAGGCTCTGTCTCAAAAAAAAAACAATTACAAATTAACCAGATGTGGTGGTGTGTGCCTGTAATCCTAGCTCTACTGGGGAGGCTGAGGTGGGAGGATTGCATGAACTCAGGAGTTTGAGGTTACAATGTGCTATAATTGTGCCACTGCACTCCAGTCAGAGTGACAGAGCAATACCCTATCTCTAAAGAAATAAAAATAAAATACAGTCTTTTGATGCATGAACATATTGTCACCATTCAGGGCTACATATAGTTGCAGTTCTTTTTTTTCTTTTCTTTTCTGTTTTTTTGTTTTGTTTTGTTTTGTTTTTTGAGACAGGGTCTCCAGCATCTCACCCTATTGCCCAGGCTGGAGTGCAGTGGCACAATCTTGGCTCACTGCAACCTCTGCTTCCCGGGCTCAAGCGATTCTCCAGCCTTAGCCTCTGGAGTAGCTGGAACTACAGGCACGTGCCACAACACCTGGCTGATTTTTGTTGAGAAAGGGTTTCGTCATGTTTCCCAGGCTGGTCTGAAACTCCTAAGCTCAAAGCAATCCACCCACCTTGGCATCCCAAAATGCTGGGATTACAGGCCTGAGCCACTTTGCGCAGCCAACACACAGTGGCATTTCTACAAGAGTCCTCCCTGCAATGTCATCTCCTGGCCATTTCTTCCCAGAGAGATCAGTGTGTCCCACTCTGTCCACACTCCTAGAGGGCTCCCTCCCCACAGTGGGCTGTGACCGACGACCTCCAGTCAAAGAGAAAAGCTGACTGCTCTCTAGCACCATGCCCTTTTCCCACATGAGGGCTGTCCCAAACCGAAGGTGCTCCCCTAGCCCTAATGTGTTAGAGGAAAAGGGCCAGCCTGGTAGGGCCAGACCAATTGACAAGGGTAAAAGGATAAGAGACACTCTGGCCCAGGCACGTGCCAGCACCCCTGGTCAGAACGTTTGGTCTGACAAAGTGCAAGGCAGAAGCCAGGTCAGCTCCACCTCCGTCTTCACCCTCCATTCCCTCATTTCGCATTCTGTCCAGTGGAGCTAAAGCCCGCAGTTGCTGTGGGTGATAAATAAATAATCACAATGAGGAAGTACCTTTGAAATATAGAGCTGACAGATCATATCCTCCCCTGGTTTGATTTCTTTCACTGTCCGGGTGATGAATATACCTTTCCCTTGGCAGCCCGAATCCGGCTTACAAATGTATGTCTTATTTTTTCTTGACCTGCTGTAGGTCTGCAAATCTCCCCAGCTACCAGAGCAGGGAGGGAACAAGATACATCTTTAGCTAGGGAACAATGAAAAGGAAGGCTAACTCTTTATGAAGAAAAGAAAGAAAAGCTATCTAATGTGACAAAGCCCTGGCATTGACAGATGCCTAGAGGCCCGGCAATGGGAGGCAGCAGAGCACACACAGCAGGGAGTGTGGGCTTCAGAGGGAATTCAGGCCTGGGTTGAAGCCCAAGCAACACCACTTACCAGCGGTGCAACCCTCTGCAAGGACTTGACCTCTCTAAACCTCAACTTCATCATCTATACAGTAAAGATAATAACGACACCCATCTGCTGTGGTGCTTAGCTGCATGACATAATGCGGGCACAGTGCTGCATGACCCATCAAGATGACCATGGCACAGGTAGTTTGGTCTTCTGGGCTTGCAGGTAGGAGCTTTGGAGTTCTGGACCTGGCTCAAGCCCTGACAAGTGATGTGACTTTGGATCCATCAGTCTCTCACCCGCACTGGGCTTCAGTGTCTCATCTGTGACGCCTCCATTTTAGTCAGAGTATGGGAGAGCAAATCATATATTTGAACATATTTTGTGGAAAGTATATTCAGAAGAAAGAAAGAAACTAAATGAGTGGATTCTGTCTCTCAGTCTCGCTATACTTCTGTGTTTTAACTCAAAGGAACCTTGTAACCATTGGAAAAATCACCTAACTGCAATGTTCCTCAGTAACCATGAAATCTGGAGCTCCTGTTGACCTAATGGCAAATACATTTCCTTCTAATTTGCTGCTAAGCCCTGAAACTTGTTCCAGACAAGCGAAGGAAAGTCTGAGAACCCTGGAGCTCTTGGTTTTGGAAAGCACTGGGTGGAGAGGGGAGGATGGAATTCCTCTGATGCCCTTGCCATGTGAGTATAATCTGATAGTGGCACTGTTCACTGTCTCAGCCCTGTCTCAGCCACCAGATTGCACCCCAGGTCATGTATGTCATCTCACATTTCTCCTGTTCCTCGGTGGTGTGGTCCAGAGCATTTTACATACCAGGAACTGATGTCGTTTTGAAATGGATATAAAGAGAGCAGAGAAGGGGAAGTGCTGACTGCTATCCATAGCATTGCATGGGACAGAGGTCAGGCATCCCTCCCTGCTCCTAACCTAGGTGCTAACCACTACCACACTCTCCAGAGGTGCTCATGGTCCTTAAAGATTCAGAAACTGCATAGTTACGTGGTTGGAATGAGTTCAAAATCAACAGCTTTCAGCGTCAGAACAAACTCTAACCCCAACTGCAGGTACAGGTTCCAGGGCACCCAGCCCCTAAATATCATCTAATTTTACAGGCAGAGCCTTGTGTTTTCTCAACCTTGGACACACCCTTTATCCCTTCTCTTCCTGAACAGTAGCCAGAGAGATGGGAGATCATATGGGCAGGGAAAGTGGCAACCAGGGAATCAGGGGCAAGAGGAAACCTAAATGGGGAGAGGACTGGAGAAGGAAGCACAGGGCAGGGGGCACTCACTCAGCAGGAAGACACCAGGTCCTAGGGAAAAAGTGGAAATCTTTAGGGAACATCTTTAACATGCGGCTCATATTCCTGGCCAGCAAGTCCTTCCGGCAGATTTCACTCATCCCGGGAAAGTGATTGATCTTCTGCAAGGGAAGCCGGAATTCATGAGCAATCGAGGGACATGGGAGTACCACAAAATCTCCTTGGGACACAGGTGTAAAAATGGGGCCCCACCGGGTAAGATGCCACACTTAAACCAAGGACCATCACTAGCCCAAATACCTGGTAACTTTTCATTTCCATCACCCGCTCCAGTGATACTGAGTAATCTGTCCAATAGAGAGTCCAGTCATCGTTTTCCCCTCCCTCTCTAAGGCCGTACTGTTGGGCGGCCCTGCGCACTATTGAAGAAAGAAAGGCCTATTAGCCCGGGACGTGGGGGAGGAGCATGGGGTGGGGAGGCTCCATTACTAGGTGCTCCCAGACCAAGTACTGAAGCGAGAGAACTCAGCTCCTTGAGACTGGAAGCCATCTTGCCCTGTCTCCATTAATGCAAGAATGGAGAGTCAAACACTGCCACTGCATCACTTGAGCCCAGGAGTTCAAGACCAGCCTGGCCAACATGGCAAAACCCCGTCTCTACTAAAAATATAAAAAATTAGCTGGGTGTGGTGGGGCACCACCACTCAGGAGGCTGAAGGGGAGAATAACCTGCGCCCTGTAAATGGAGGCTGCAGTGAGCCGTGATCATGCCACTGCACTTCAGCCTGAGCAACAGGAGACCCTGTGAGAGAAAGAAAAGAAGGAAGGAAAAGAAAGAAAGAGAGAGAGAAAAAAAAAAAAAAAGAAAAGAAAGAAAGAAAGAAAAAGGAAAGAAAAAAAAGAAAAAAGAAAGAAAGAAAGAAAGAAAGAAAGAAAGAAAGAAAGAAAGAAAGAAAGAAAGAAGGAAGGAAGGAAGGAAGGAAGGAAGGAAGGAAGGAAGGAAGGAAGGAAGGAAGGAAGAAAGGAAGGAGAGAGAGAGAGAGAAAGAGAATAAATAAAGGAACATGGAGAGTTGAAAACTACCGAAAAATCCAGCCTGTACTCAATGATCCCCATAGAAGGTTATCTGGGGTGAATGATTTGCCTGTTGTGGCTTCCCTTTGCCAGAAAGCAAGCTTCTGGCTTTCCTCCAAACACCAAGCTCTGAATGTTCAGGGAATATAAACTAATCCTTAACATTAGTCAGAGCCAAGCTTAATTAGTATATGGTATATTAAGCATACATTTTGTTTAAAGTACACACTACATTTCAAAACTACATCTGTGATGTCATATCCTTTCTGTCCCTGTTAGGATTAATAAGTAGGAGCTGACTCCAATACAAACTCAAATGCTTTCAAGGGGCTAGAATGGGAGAAGTGCCTGCAGTAACCGGGACAGTACAAGACTACCCTAAAGCATTCACATTTGAATTTAAAATACAGCAACAGTCTGGGCACAGTGGCTCATGCCTGTAATCCCAGCACTTTGGGACACCAAGGCGGGCGGATCACCCGAGGTCAGGAGTTCGAGACCAGCCTGGTCAACATGGCAAAACCTTGTCTCTAATAAAAATACAAAAATTATCTGGGCATGGTGGCGTGCACCTGTACTCCCAGCTACTTGGGAGGCTGAGGCAGGAGAATCACTTGAACCTGGGAGGCGAAGGTTGCAGTGAGCCAAGATCATGCCACTGCACTCCAGCCTAGGGGACAGAACGAGACTGCATCTCAAAAAAAATAAATAAATGGCCGGGCGCAGTGGCTCATGCCTGTAATCCCAGCACTCTGGGAGGCCGAGGCAGGTAGATCACCTGAGGTCGGGAGTTCGAGACCCACCTGACCAACATGGAGAAACCCCCATCTCTACTAAAACTACAAAATTAGCTGGGTAAGGTGGTGCATGCCTGTAATCCCCGCTACTCAGGGGGCTGAGGCAGGAGAATCGCTTGAACCCAGGAGGCAGAGGTTGCAGTGAGCTGAGATCGTGCCATTACACTCCAGCCTAGGCAATAAGAGTGAAACTCAGTCTCAAAAAAAATAAAATAAAATGAATAAATAAATACAATACAGCAACAGCCGGGCACAGTGGTTCACACTCATAATCCCAGCACTTTGGGAGGCTGAGGTAGGTGAATCACTTGAGGTCAGGAGTTTGAGACCAGCATGGCCAACATTGTGAAACCCCATCTCTACTAAAAATACAAAAAATTAGCCAGGCATGGTGGCACTTGCCTGTAATCCCAGCTACTTGGAAGGCTGAGGCAGGAGAATCACCTGAACCTGGGAGGTGGAGGTTGCAATGAGCTGAGATCACGCCACTGCACTCCAGAGCAAGACGCCGTCTCAAAAAAAGGAAAAAAAAAAAAAAAAAAAAGCAACAGCAATAGCAACACTGTGCTCTGAAGTACAAAATAGGTCTGTAGATCAGGTTCAGTTCACGAACTGCAGGTTTGTAACTTGTGCTCTAAAACAGAGCCACTGGCTGCAGCAACAGCTGTCTCTTACAATTAGATCCCCAAATCACTATATATAAGAATTACAGATAGTTGAAGTACACACCATTCTGGTGAAAACCCATGACTCTTGGAATAAGATTCCCAACTTCCTTAATTAAGTAGTTCATTGAGCTAGGAGAACTGAAGGACAGGATTTGGAGACACACCCTTCCATCCTCACAAATACACAAAAGTGACTCTTCCCAACCCTTTGGGAGAATCCGGTGGGTCCCCATTATAGATCCCCTGAATGTAGATGCTCACCACTCTCATACCGGCAGCTGGATAGATTGATCACCAATCATCTGGAAAAGAGAAAAAGGAAAGCAGCAAGACAGAAACACATTTGCCGGAACAAGTGACTGTGCCCAGAAACATCCTGTCCCAGGTGGAGCTCTCTGAAATCTAGCCTGCCATGCTAAGCCTCGTTTGACCACCCCTGTTGCTGAAGACACGAGTCCAAAGGGGTACAGCATGGTGGAAAACATGGCATCAGGGTACTATTACTCTACCCGGAAGGTAGAAATTCTGTGTTGCCATTACAGCTAATCTCGCTTGCAGCTTCTCACTAACATATTGCCTCAAGCCTTTTACTCCACTGGCTCATCAGGGACAGGAACTGAACATCTTTTTGGCCAAAATACTTGTCTCTTTCCTCTTCCCCCCATTAAGGGAAGCTATGAATAAGAAAGTGGACAAGCTTTTCCATTCATCAATCAGTCTGAATGGAGCAAGGCATGGTGAAATATTAAACAAGAACCGGAATGCACAAGCTGCAGTTGGATCCTGATAAGTCAGTATGGTGCTATCATATTGAAGGTGCACTAAATTTCCAGGACAAATAAGCGCCTTCTTAAAACAAGGAAATCTTCTCTTCCTGCTATTTTTTTAAAGGCATCCTAAACACAAATAGAATGAAAATTAGGACAAGGTGTGGTTTTTTTAGATTACACACACGATCATTTGATTCTATAAAACAGATCATCAAAAGTAGATTCTTTTTATATGAACCAAAAGTGGTGAGATATTGACAGTCTCGGCACACAGCTTCTCCTTTACCTTCTCATCATCAGCCAAGACCCCCTTCCCTCCAGGTCCTTCCTGTTCTTACCAACATGGCTCCCCATTCCCCAGCTTTCAATCCTAACCTCTTTTTCTTCCTCTTCTTCTTGCCTTGCTGCTGGGCATTCTGAAGTCTGTTTTGTGCCCCTGGGTTCACTCTCACAAAAGCCAGCGCGATGGTTTCTTTTGGATCTTCTATGGAACTGTCCCCCTTCTCTTCGGAGTTTGCCCCTTCCTGGCTTTCCAAAGTTCGGCACCGTGGCATCTCCCTGGCCTGAGAGGAGGCTCTGGGGAAATACCAGGCCCCTAGAGAGAGGGCAGAGGGAGCCGCAGTTACAGGGATCCACCTGCAGGGGGACCCCCTCCCTCGCTCATGTGGGTGGTGACCCAGGGTTCTAATTCAAGGTAACAGGTTGCAGTTTATACAATGCCACCTGGCCTCCGTGGTTTGATGTAAACTCTGGGAGGGAGCTGATTCCATCTTTTGCCATTGGCTGTGACCTTGGAGACTCACTCAGCCAACCCTAGCCTTGGTTTTTCCCTCCTGGGATTTTCAGGAGAAGCCAGAGATGCTATGCATGGCACCACCTGGTAAACAATATTAAAGTGAGTGAGTGTCTGGAGACAGCGAAGCCCCAAGCCTTCCTAGCTGAGAGAGTTAGTCCCAGAGGGTGCAGGTAGAGGTGCTTTGAGGAGGTCTGTTAACTGTTTCAGCACTGCAGTGAACCTCCCCCACAACAATATGCTGGCCTGAAAATGAATGCAACTGCCGCTCGTGGAGTACAGGACTAATGTGTAGCTGACTGAACAATAAGATTCAAGCCCAGGGCCAGATGCAGACCTTCAGAGACACCAACCACAGAGAAGGCTATGTCTCCCCCACCATCCATTCCAAAATAAAAACAAGATCAAATTATAAAATACATATAAGGAAGTCCAGCAAAGGTCTCATCCTCCCTGGCCCCGTGAGATTTCTTTCATGTTTGTTCAAAATGGCAAATATTGCTGGGCACAGTGGCTCACGCCTATAATCCCAACACTCTGGGAGGTCAAGGCGGGCAGATCATTTGAGGTCAGGAGTTTGAGACCAGGCTGGCCAACATGGTGAAACCCGGTCTCTATTAAAAATACAAAAAAAAAAAAAAAAAAGTGCCAGGCGCGGTGGCTCACGCCTGTAATCCCAGCACTTTGGGAGGCCAAGGCAGGCGGATCACCTGAGGTCGGGAGATTGAGACCAGCCTTACCCACACAGAGAAACCCCGTCTCTACTAAAAATACAAAAATTAGCCGGGCGTGGTGGTGCATGCCTGTAATCCCAGCTACTCAGGAGGATGAGGCAGGAGAATCGCTTGAACCTGGGAGGCGGAGGTTGTTGTGAGCCAAGATCGTTGCACTCCAGCCTGGGCAACAAGAGAGAAACTCCGTCTCAAAAAAAAAAAAAAAATACGAAAAATAAATTAGCTATATGTGGTGGCAAGTACCTGTAATCCCAGTTACTCAGGAGACTGAGGCAGGAAAATCGCTTGAACTGGAAGGCGGAGGTTGCAGTGAGCCGAGATCATGCCACTGCACGATTTTTTTTGACTCCGTCTCAAAAAAAAATTAATTAATTAATTAAAAAATAAAAAATAATTTCTCTTTTGTTGTTGCAGTTTTTTGTTTTTTGAGAGGGAGTTTCACTCTTGTTGTCCAGGCCGGAGTGCAATGGTGCGATCTTAGCTCACTACAACCTCTGCCTCCCAGGTTCAAATGATTCTCCTGCCTCAGCCTCCTGAGTAGCTGGGATTACAGGCATGCACCACCATGCCTGGCTAATTTTGTATTTTTAGTAGAGATGGGGGTTTCTCCATGTTGGTCAGGCTGGTCTCAAACTCCCAACCTCAGGTGATCCGCCTGCCTCGGCCTCCCAAAGTGCTGGGATTACAGGTGTGAGCCACCTCATCCTGCCAAAATAATTTCTAAGCATACTTATTCTAATATAATTGTAATCAATTTTATATTTGCTTTTTGCCCACTTAGTAGATCATAAACAACCTTTTCATTGTAGCAGAGTTTACATGTTTCTGGGTTTTTTGGTTTGTTTGTTTGTTTTGAGACAGAGTCTTGCTTTGTTTCCCAGGCTATAGTGGGTGCAATCTCGGCTCACTGCAACCTCTGCCTCCTGGGTTCAAGCAATTCTTGTACTTCAGTCCCCCAAAAAGCTGGGATTACAGGCATGCACCACTACACCCAGCTAACTTTTATATTTTTAGTAGAGACAGGGTTGCGCCAAGTTAGCCAAGCTGGTCTTAAACTCCTGACCTCAAGCAATCTGCCTACCTCTGCCTCTCACAGTGTTGGGATTACAAGCATGAGCCACCATGCCTGACCATTTCTAGTTTTTAATGGCTGTATGTATTCCATTGAAAGAATGCACCTCAATGTAACGAATCATTGTCCTATTGTTGGAAATGTAAGTTGCTGCCAATTTTGATACTATATAAATAGCTCTAAAATGCACTCTTGCATGTGCAGAAGGCCTTTTACTTACTTAGGGTTATTTTCTTAATATCTTGATATTACAGGGTTAATGAATATGCAAATTACATCGCTTCTCATATGTATATATATAAAATACCATGTTGCTTCCCAGAGGGATTGCAATAATTTGGACTACTACCAGCAATATGCAACAAGAGTAGGCTCACCAGAGCCCCACAATGTCTTGGGAATCACCTTCCCTCTATATACAAATTTGCTATTTCTGTTTTGGTTTTTTTTGCTTTGTTTTGTTTTGAGATGGTGTCTTGTTCTGTCACCCAGGCTGGAGCGCAGTGGTGCAACTTCAGCTCACTGCAACCTCCGTCTCCCGGGTTCAAGTGATTCTCCTGCCTCAGCCTCCTGAGTAGCTGGGATTATAGGCATCCGCTACCATGTCAGGCTAATTTTTTTGTATTTTTAGTACAGACAGGGTTTCACCATATTGGCCAGCCTGGTCTTAAACTCTTGACCTCAAATGATCTGCCCGCCTCAGCCTCCCAAAGTGCTGGGATTACAGGCGTGAGCCACCGCACCTGGCCCAAACTTGTTAATTCTAGACAACTTTTATACCCTATGGCCAATGTCTTTAATATCACTGCACCCTTCCACCTCTCTCTATTCCTTTCTTTTTTTTTTTTTTTTTGTGAGACGCAGTCTGGCTCTGTCGCCCAGGCTGGAGTGCAGTGGCCGGATCTCAGCTCACTGCAAGCTCCGCCTCCCGGGTTTACACCATTCTCCTGCCTCAGCCTCCCGAGTAGCTGGGACTACAGGCGCCCGCCACCTCGCCCGGCTAGTTTTTTGTATTTTTTTTTTTTTTAGTAGAGACGGGGTTTCACCATGTTAGCCAAGATGGTCTTGATCTCCTGACCTAGTGATCCACCCATCTCGGCCTCCCAAAGTGCTGGGATTACAGGCTTGAGCCACCGCGCCCGGCCTCTATTCCTTTCTAAAGCCAAATTTGGTGGTGTGGAGCCCTTTAACTATGGAAGTTACCTATAAATAATATAATAATAAGCTTTTATGTAGGGATAGTTCTCTGGGCTTTTCAAAGAAGTTTCATATACATGCTCCCATTGAATGCTTACAATGAGAGGGAGGGCAGAATTGTTAAGTCAGCCAAGGATTGCCACTTGTTTCTTTCTCTTTCTGAAGAGGGCTGCCACTTACAGGCAAGACCCTTTGTGGTGACACCAGAGCAGGAGGAAGAAGAGATGTGCTCGGGACAGATAAACCCTGGGTCTTGTGAGTCAATTGTTTCCAGTGAACAGGCACATTCTTGGCAAAGTTCAGGGGAACTAAGGTACATGAAATCTTGACCTTGGGCTGCTCCCTTCCTTGCAGGTAAACGGCCAGCTCCACTCCCCTAGCCCTCCACAACGGCTCCTATGTACCAAGCCCTCAAGGAGGAGTGGCTCTGTTTACCTAAAGGTTAATGTTAACTTGGGGAGAGAAAACTGACCCTGAATTTGACCTCTGGAGGTGCGAATTCTCTTTGCCCATTTTTGAGTCCTTGCCTGAGTGATAAGAACAAGTCGTGGCTCCTTTTATGTGTCTGCCTCAAAGAGTAGGCCAGGTGTAGTGGCTCATGCCTGTAATCCCAACATTTTGGGAGGCCAAGGTGAGAGGATTGCTTGAGCCCAGGAGTTCAAAACCAGCCTGGGCAACAAAGTGAGAACCCATCTCTATTAAAAAAAAAAAAAAAAATTGGCTGGGTACAGTGCCATATGCCTGTAGTCCCAGCTACTCAGGAGGCTGAAGTGGGAGGATTGCTTGAGCCTAGGAGTTTAAGGCAGCAGTGAGCCACAGTTGCACCACTGCACTCCAGCCTGGATGACAGAGACCTTGTCTCAAAAAAACAAAAGAAAGGCCGGGCGCGGCGGCTCACGCCTGCAATCCCAACACTTTGGGAGGATGAGGCGGGTGGATCAACTGAGGTCGGGAGTTCGAGACCCACCTGACCAACATGGAGAAACCCCGTCTCTACTAAAAATACAGAAAATTAACCAGGCATGGTGGTGCAGGCCTGTAATCCCAGCTCCTCAGGAGGCTGAGGCAGGAGAATTGCTTGAACCTGGGAGGCAGAGGTTGTGGTGAGCTGAGATCATGCCATTGTACTCCAGCCTGGACAACAAGAGCAAAACTCTGTCTCAAAATGAAAAAGGAAAAGAAAATAAAAAAAGGTCAAATTATATTTGCTCTTACATGAGAGGGCCTCAAGCATGTAGAGTAAAAAACTGAGCCCATGCACTTTTAGATGAACTGGGTCACCATGGAATTATTGCCTGCATTCCCTTGTATTCTAGGCTGCCTATGACAT